AGCAAGAGCGAGACCCTGTCTCTACTAAAAATAGAAAGAAATTAGCTGGACAACTAAAAATATATAGAAAAAATTAGCCGGGCATGGTGGCGCATGTCTGTAGTCCCAGCTACTCCAGAGGCTACACAGAAGGATTGCTTAAGCCCAGGAGTTTGAGGTTGCTGTGAGCTAGGCTGACCCCACGGCACTCTAGCTCAGGCAACAAAGCCAGCTGTCTCCAAAAAAAAAAAAAGACTGTATCACCAGTTACTCCAAAAACTAGATTTATACCCTCTGTTCACAGCATGGTATATGCCCATGCAGTTCCCTCCAAATACATACTGTATACCCACACACACACTCACTTTCAGATACCTGTTCACAGACCAGATTACAATTATTTTTTATAACGGGATTATCATTAACACAGCTTTTCATTTAATATATGACCATTTCCCATGTCAATCTTTAACTTTGAATCACCCCTCGGCCCCCTACCCCCCGACTTCAGCAGCCCTGTTCCCAACACACAAACTTCTCTAGAGAGTGAGACCCTCCTCTCTCCAGCTCCCGAACCCTGCTTTCCCCCCTTCCTGATCCTGGGTCTTCCTCCCAGCTTCCCTACTCCCACCTGGGTTATTCTCCCCCTTTCCCCTCTCACCACACTTGATCATGCTCTTCTGCCTCATTCCTGACCCTGGGTATCTCCACCACCCCTCCTTTTCTTCAGCCAGCGTGAGTTAAACCCTGCCCCCTTTGCCTGTCCAAGTTGCAAATCACCTATGCTAAGAGGGTATATAGTTCCTAAGTGGGAATTTCCTGGACAGAACTCCATTTCAGACAGTGGGAATAAATGACTGCTAGGACGGTATTTTATTCCTTCTCCTTCCAAAGAGCTAACTAACATGCTAACGACTTCCTTTAATCCTCCAAATATGATACACGATTACATTTTTTGGACCATAATAAAAAACTCTACAATTTCTAAACGAAATTAACATTTTTATTCATTAAAATATTTCATTATAGAAAGGCAACTTGGAAGAGAGAAATCTCAGCTCAGGGGCAAAGGCAGGCCCTCTTGAAGGAGAAGGTGGCCTGGAATCAAGGGCTGAGAGCAGGTCGAGTGCTGGGTGGTGGAGTCATGGGGAGGGGAGGCTTCAAAACAGCTGAGGATGTTGGTTAATGGCCAGAACTTTGGGAGACCTCACAAGTAACCACGGAGCAGGCAGCCCTCCACACCGTGGGTGGATGTTGATTTGTTTTGCGGGCCTTGGAGGATGCTCATGGAGGGTCACAGCACAGGCGGTGTAGGGGGGTGAGGTGTGCTCCCTAAGTCGGCCTGCTCCTCTGGACAAACAGAGCTCAGGGAATCAAGCTCAGGCAGCAAGGCGCGCCTAAGGCTATCAGGGCTAGGAGTGGGGATGGAGCTCAGGCCAAAAAACTTAGGGGAAGAAGAAGAGGAGGAGGAACTCTGGCCAGAAAACTTAGTGGGGGAAGAGTAGGGGCTTAGGCCAACAGACCTACGGGGAGAGGAGCTGGAGCAAGAGGAGCAGCTCTCACCGCGCTGGTTAAGAATAGGATAGAACCTACCGGGAGGCGAGGGTGAGGAGGCACGCATACGGACTGCATGCCAACTAGGCTGGGAAGCAAGGCTTGGGACCTCAGGATCAGGAGAGCTTCTATTGCTCCCAAAGACAAGGCTTCGTAAGGCAAACCCAGGGGGAGAACGAGAATTCCCGTCAGCTGACCCAGGCAGAGCGCGGCGGCTGAGAAGGGTTGACCTTCGCCGGGCAGAACATCTCTGAAGAACAGGGCCTGGCGTCGTGATGGTGCTGCGAATTATTGGGCTTGATCTTGCTGTGCTGCTGCGGAGGACACGGCCTGGCGGGGTGCTGCGGCTTTGGCGGGTAGGGCCTGGCCCGGATGCAATGCCGCTGAGAGCAGGGTCTGGCAGGATGGCGCGGCTGCGGCGAGCAGGGCCTGGAGGGCTGCCCTGGCTGCGGGGAGCAGGGCCTGGAGCACACGTACGGCGTCGGACAGCAGGGCCAGGCGGGGTGGCGCGGCTTTGGATGGCAGGAGCTGGATCAGAGGCACGTCTGCGGAGTGCAGGACCTGGCAGGGTGGTGCAGCTTCGGCGTCGGCGACCAGGGCTTGGCTCAGATGCTTGGCTGTGGCGGTCAGGGCCTGGCCTGGCTGCTTGACTGCGGAGAGCAGGCCCTGGCCGCGATGCGTCACTCCACCTGGAAGCCTGGGAGTGGCGGCTGCTGCTGGGCTGAGACCTTGGAGAAGATGGAGGCAGAGGCTCAGAACACTGAGGCCTGGGAGCCGCAGGAAACAGACGGCTCCCTGGAAACTTCCGAGCCTGGGCAGCCTGGTCACGGCGGGGCTGCTTCCTACGACGGTTCTTCCCGGGGCTCTTGGTCTGGGCCGGGCGCCCGCCGGGCTGGCCCGTGCCCTTCGGGGGTGGCTCCACAGCGGCCAGGCCAGCCGTCTCGGACACCACACATCGAAGGTCTACGTGGGGACTGTGGCTGCCCTGGAGATCAGAGCACCTCTTCGCCTGCACACAGGCCATGGAAGGCAGCCCCGGGTCTTCGTCGGCGATTAAAATGGCGGCGGCGGCGGCGGAATCTGCTGGGCTGCTGCTCAGGACGCCAGATGGAGACGCATCGCTAGAGACCGCGGGGACCGTGGCAGCAGGCTCGTGATTGCCCGGGCTACATTCGTCGCCAGAGGCGTGGGCGGCCTCATTCTTCGGCCCTCCAGGCACCTCGCCCTGCTGGTGCTTCTCCTCCTTCTCCACGTGTGACTGGGTGGCCATAATGCCAGGTTCTCGCTAGAGACTGAGGACCTCGGCAGCTAATGTGAGCAGCGTAAAGGTCAAGAGCCATTATAGAGGAAGGGGTGGAGCCTGGCCACTCCTGCCTCTGATTGGTGAGCTGGCTGTCACATGACACTTCTCTTCCCTGAGCCGTCCAACCAGTACCCGTCTGGTATCAACCCGGAGGGTGTGCCCCGCCCCTCGGGGTCAGCCCTGGCCGAGTCCAAAGTGCGAAGCTTCCGGTCCTCAAATCAGGCCCCTAGAAGTGCGTGCGTGTGTGTGTTTTGGGTGAGGGCGTGGGGGTGGGGAGTCTATATCAAAGATTCGAGTCACCCCACATCATCTTGTCAGCACCAGTCTGGTGGCTCAAGCTCAAGCGATCGCCCTAAAGATATACCACACTGGCCGAGAGGCTATATCCCCGTAGCCAGGTGTCTGTCCTTCCTGGCATCTAGTCCGGACACTAGGCCCAAGCACCATGGCAGAGGGGACCCTACCGGAACTCCAGGGATGTGGATGAGCCTACGCGGGGTCTGGTGGGTTTGGGGGTTGGAGCGAGGCCTGAAGCGGAGAGAAGGGGCAGGGCCCACACCGTCGTGGCTCCGGACGTTCGGCACTGCTGCCTCCCACTGCTGCCTCCCTCAGGTCCCACAGTCGGGGCTGGGATGGAGGGGGGCGGGGGTGGGGGGTGGATTTAGAATTTTCCGGTAAGATGCTTGTCCCTGTCTTGTCCCCCGAGGCACAGGCCGGGTTGCTTATGGTTAGGGATGATACTGACCTTAGATATCTGTACAGGCTGCATAGTGATCCACTGGTGAATGGACATTAATTTATTTGGCCTAGTCCCTAGTTTCTGTTAATATAAATATGCTGTGATGCACAGACTTGAACTTTAATATTCGGACACTCCTTTTTAGTCATTATTACAGAAGGGTTGCACATTCAGTACCCCAAACAGAAAAGCAAATGTAAGAAAACTAGTACCTAAGTTCTCACACACCTATAGGCGAGTACTGGAAATCTTTACTTGCATGTTGGTAGAAAGGCTATTCATACATATTCCATAGTTTTTGTTGTTGTTTGATGTTATAAAATGGAATCATTTCTCCATAGATATTGCTTTCTAACCCGCTTTGGGGGTCCCGAAAACACTCTCTCCATGGCAAGAAACAAATTTCCACAAGGACGTTTTTAACTACAAAATGGTCTGATTATACAAGCAGGTTACATTTTCAAACATTCCAATATTGACCAACATTTATGTTTTTCCAACTTTCACATCAATGTGAGCCAAATCCTTCTTACTAAAAATTGTTCAGGTCCTCAAATGTGTCGTTCTTGTGGCTAAGTTCCCAGAAGAGAAAATTCTTGATATAAGTCTATGCACATTTGTAATTTCTTGATAAAAACATTGGCAAATTGTTTTCCTGAAAGTCACTGTTATAATAATTTTGGCAGCATTGAATGGGATATTTAATGGAAGGGATGAACAACTAGATTGAAACACAACTCAAAAATAGAATGGAATGGTATTTGGAGTGTTAAATAATGTAGAATGGAAAATGGATTTGAAATGGAATGCAGAATGGGATGAAGTAGAGACTGATTGCAGTAGAAACTGGAATAAAATGGGGACTGGAATATGGGTTTGAACAGGATATGGAATGGAAATTGAATGAGATAGAAATTGAATGTTATTTAATGGGAAAATGGAATGAACAGAAAATTCAAACAAATATCTAATGTCATACAGAATAAAAGAAAAATGTGTTATTTGAGAAAAGAAAGGAAATGAAATAGAGTGTGAGATAAAATAGTAAAGAAAATAGAAGAAATCAAAATTAGAAGAAACAAGAATGGAAGGAAATATTCAATGGCCTGAAATAAATGGGCTATGAAATATGTTCTATAGATTTTAAAGTACCAGAAAAGAATGAAATGAAATTTGGAATAAAATATAGAATACAAGTTTATGAAGGATAGAATAGGAATTGAATAAGAATGGAAAATGAAATATTAATAAAATATAGATGGACTTAAATGAAGAATAAATGCATAGAATGTGTCTAGACAATGTCCATTTTATTATTCCCATGCATTTTGTATTGCTAGAATTCAGACAAGGCATAGTGAGGATGGCTTGTCTATGCTCTACGATGTCTGGGACCTCAGCTTGGAAACTTGAATGGCTCTGAGGTCATGAGGGAAGTAAAGCAGTAAATGATGACTCCTAGATTTTTGTGGATGATGGTGTCACTTACTGAAAATGGGAAAACCTGTTCAGTTGAGGAGGTTAGGGAGACAATAGAAATCAGTGATTCTGTTATGCCCATGTTGACCATCACTCCTAGTCATTTAGGGGTATGAACCCCAATTTATCTCATAGCTATTTTCTTAGTTTTATATGTTACCTTTCACCAGTTTCATGGAATCCAGTTTTCCTCTTGGGAGTCATTTCAGTTTTCTCTGAGATCCTTCCTCCTTTCTGGAATCTCTGTGGGTCTCAGTCATGATCCCTGACTTAGTAATAACTAAAATTCCCCCATCTATCTTTAAAGTAATATGAATATATATATATATTATATATATAATCTTCCACTTATTGACTTGTTATCCTCTAGGATCTCAAACTTTTTGAAGTCCCTCCCTTTAACTCCATTGGTATCTTCAATACCCTCTCCTTTCTCTTTCCCTCTGTTTCATTTTAAAAGTATATATGATGTATGAGCTCATAGAAAAAAAATCTGGAAGGCTGATTTTTCATTCTCTTCATACTTAATCTTTTGAATGGTTTCAATGAGCATACATTACTCTTGTACTCAGAAAAATATAGCTATTTGCATTTTTGAAAACAATTATTTAACATATATTCAATTAAGTTTTAAACTATTGTAAGAAATTGGGCTTTCTTATATATTACTGAATAGGACTATAAATTTATAGCATCTTTACAGATGAAAATTTGATGATATGATGATACATATAAAAAGTCTTACATGAAATCTATGTGATGCTACAATTCTTCCTCCAGGCATCAATTCTAAATCAAAAACAAAACAACAACAACAAAAAACCCCTCATATATTCACAATGTTATATGCTCAAAGGTAATTTTTATAGTGTCATTTATTTTTTAAAATCTGAAAAGACCTCAGTTTCTAGTAGGATACTGGATGCCCATAGAATAAATGTACATAGCTTTTACAGGATATTTTTGAAAAACTTTTAATGCCATGGGAAAATGGCTATGATATCCAGAATCCCATATAATGTACTGGACCTACTGATCTATATTTATACTTATATATTTATTTTTCCATCTATCTAGTTATTACATTTCATTCACCATAGTACAGTTCCCAACTAGAGCACTTTGCCCCATGGAGGAAATTTAGAAATGTCTGTAGACTGTCACAACTGGGGAGGGCGAGTGCTACTGGCATCTAGTGTGCAGGTGTCAGGGATGCTGCTCAATCCCTTCAATGCACAGGAAAGCCTTCAACAACACAGAATTATTTGGCCCAGAATGCCAATAGTGTCAAGTTTGACAAGCCTTGCAGTAAGGCATTTGGATAATTCAGAGAAATTCAAGAAAATTTAAATCACAAGCAATCCTACCAGTGATAGTTAAAAGTTTGATATGTGTTAGTATTAAGTTTTCTATGATAATTTTGTATTTTATAATTGGCAAAAAGTATATTTTTGAAATTAATTCATTTAAAACTTCATTCTTCCTCAACAAGCTACAAATATTTTTCACATATTAAGCATTCTACTCATTGCTTAAGAAATTATGACTTAAGAATTATAATTTCAGCTCATTTACATGGAGGTATATTCCACAAGTATCAATCTATCATCTATCTCCTGATATTCAAACTTGAAATCATTAATTTCCAAATATTTATTTGGTTAAAATAAAGAAAAACTGAGGTTTATAACACAATGTATCTGATATATAAAGAGTAGTGTGGTTGATTATCAGGTCATAGTAATCTCATTACCACTCCAGTGACTGGTTTGGAAATGGGCATTTCCCAGTTTTAGTCACTAGGATATGGATGCATATCCTTTGGGGTTTTGGGGGAAAGGTTTCTCAGCTCTTAAAGTAAGAGACACAGCAGATTGTTTACATTAAAAATTAAAGATTTCATATATCAAATATTAGAATTAACAAATGAATTTGGTATAATCACTGAATATATGGTCAATATTATAAAACTGAATTTTATTTCTATATGCTAGCATGAAAAATTATTAAGATAAAATTTTAAAAATGCCATTTCCGATAGCATTAGAAAACATCAAATACCTAGGAACAAATCTAATGAAAAATTCACAAGGCCTCTCTCCAGAAATCTACGTAAAATTTCTGGAATAAATTAAAGAAGACCTATATTAACCAGCGATATGTCAGGTTTATGGGATTAGAATACAATATTATGAAAATTAAATCAAAGTGAGAATTAGCATCAAAATGATCTATGAATTCAATGCAGTCCTGATCAAAATCCCAGCAGACTGTAAATGGAAATTGGCAAACTGATTCTAAAATCTGTATAGATATCAAAGATCTAAGAACAGCTAGCAAAGCGATCTAGAAGAAGAAGAAATCTGAAAGACCTTCACAGTCAGATAGCAAAGCCAACTATAAAGCCACAATAATTAAAACAGTGTGATTTGTGTACAAGGATAGTTTGCTATGTAGGAATAGATAAATAGATAAAGATACATATGCCTCTATCTATTTAGATAAAGATAAATAAACCAGTCAAACAAGAAAAGAGTCCACAAACACACATCCATATATGATCGCCTAATTTACAACAGAGGTACCAATGCGATGCTTGGGGAGAAGGATAATCATTTAAGTTAAGTGGAGCTGGACTAATTGGATATCCAGTGTGGAAAAAATAACTTTGGCCCCTAACTTACACCATACACAAAAATTAATTCCAGAAGATAAAGTTTCTAGAAAATAATTAGCATATTTTGATGCC